TCATTGGGTGAATGGGGAGACTCCCCCTCTGTACACCCAAGCGGTCTACTGTGTGGTGCAGGTGTGGAAGGGCAGGTTGGGCTCCTGCCCGAATTGGCACACTATCACCAACAAAAGACCCCAGTGCCATGTGGAGCCCAGTGAGTGGCCCTGCCAGTTCTAGCGGAGGAAATTGGGCCCCTATGGCACCTGCAGTGGTGCAGGTGGTATTCATATCCCTGAGATACAAATACAAAGTGCCCGTCTCTACAAGTAATCCTAGCTGGTAGACTGGGCCACCTCTTGAATATCTATGGCAGAGTAAGATACCTTGATTATCTTAGTATTTGTATCCTAATAGAATATGAAATTACAGTATGTAGGAATTTGATTTAAGTGGATCTGCTTTAAGTATGATTGAATCTAGATCCAAACCATTAACTCTAACCTACAGCACAGTACAGTCGTGCCTCGACATATGAACTTAATCCGTTCCAGAAGATGGTTGTAACTCGAATTTGGTCATAAGACGAAGCACCATTTCCCATAGGAAAAAAAATCAGACCCCCCCTCCAACTCAGCAAGCTCCATCGGAATGCGCTGAGGCTGAAAAAAAAATCACCAAAAAAATCACAGCACAGAAACATAACCCCCCTGCCCAAACCCACACTGCAAAACCCATACTCACTCAGAAGCAGAAAGCAGCACCAGGCAGTACGAAGCCTCTCTGCAAACGCACACACTCTAGCCATTGGGGTGAAAGAGCTACAAAGAAGCAGCCTCTTCACTGACCAACAGTTAGCAATTTAAATTCCTCGCCTTTTTTCTGATCGTAATTCAAAGCTCCAGTCGTAAGTTGAAGCAGAATTTTGTGGCCAGAGTTGGTTGTAACTCAAATTGGTCATAAGTCGGGACGGTCGTAATTTGAGGCACCACTGTAAAATAGAAAGCTGTAATGTAATAGCTATCAACACTTTTGATAAGATAGCAATATCTTAACTGAACATAAAATACCTTTATACCCATTAATTGTATGCCATATGGACATCTCTGTCTACAATAAAGGATGTATTGTCAGTAACAGTTTATAGAAAATAGGAATAAGTTATGTACTACTTTTGGAATTTGTCACAGTGTCTGTACATAATGCTTCAATGTTTTCAGTCTGGATACTATTAGTGAACACCCACTTGCTCCAGTAACCTTTGGAAGTATAAATATAGAGACCCCCCCCGACTCAGGTGGGGTCATCAGGGGGTGTGGGGCATCGTGTCATCAGTATGCTGATGACACACAGCTCTACATCTCCTTTCTTCCAACTGCAGGTGATGCTGTCCTGTCCCTCCAGTGCTGCCTGGGGGCTGTACTGCAATGGATGCATGAAAATGGGCTGAGGCTGAACCTGGACAAGACGGAGGTTCTGAGGGTGGGTGCTCCCACTGTTGGTGGTTTGGGTGACTCCTCATTTGGGGGGTGACCCTTGCCACAAAGAATGGGGTACGCAGTCTGGGGATCCATCTGGACCTGGCGCTCACCATGGAGACTTAGGTGGCATCCGTGGTCTGCACCGCCTTTTTCCACCTTTGGCGGATAGCCCAGCTGCGGCCCTATCTCTATGTGGGGGCGCTCACCACCTTGGTTCATGCGCTTGTAATCTCGAGATTAGACCACTGTAATGCGCTCTACGTGGAGCTCCCTTTGAAGTTGACACGGAAACTTCAAGTGGTGCAGAATGCGGCGGCCAGACTCCTTAGCGGAGTGAGAAACCACCACCACATTTCTCCCATTCTGGCCGCGCTGCATTGGCTGCCCATTCGATTCCACAAAGCCCTAAACCAGGCTTGTCCAACCTGCGGCCCGAGGGCCGCGTGCGGCCCAGGTCGGCTCATAAGGCGGCCCAGTGCAATTTTTTATTTTTAAAGAAATTCCAAAGTTTCAAGTTACAGTGCCGGGACTTGCGGCCGGAATGCGGCCAGGGCACGTCACAACGGTAGAGGGGAGAGGGAAGGAAGGAAGGAGCGGGAGGGGAGGGGAGAGGGGGGCTTTGTGACTGCATTGCACCATCCCCGTCAATAGGTAGACCCCCTCCAAGCCCCATAATGCCACCGGAGTCGAAGCTGGCAGCTTCTGCTGTTTGAGATCGCAGCTGCTGGTAAGCGTGCTTGGAGCAGGGCTGTGGAGGATGGCTAGGGCTGCCCCCTCATGCGGCCCAAACCAAATTTATGTGTGGCCCAAACCGACATGGCCCACGGAAGGTGAAAGGTTGGACACCCCTGCCCTAAACGGTTTAGGGCCTTTATACTTTGCGGAATGCTTACTCCCACCTAGTTCTACCCGTGTCACACGTGCGAGTAAGGAGGTGAGGCTGAGGAGCCTGACGCTGAGGGAGGCCCGGAAGGAAAAAACAAGAAACCGGGCCTTCTCGGCAGTGGCTTCTCGCCTCTGGAACCATCTGCCTTTGGAGATTTGCGTGGCTCCCTCGCTGGGTACTTTTAAAAATCAGTTAAAAACTTGGATGTTTAGGCGGGCCTTCCCCCCCAGTTAATTCCCGATTTTCTTCCCTCTTATTTTTTTATTTGACTTATTTTATATGCTTTCCATCTTGCTGAATTGTGTAATTGTGTTATAAATTTTTATATTTGTGTTGTATTCCATGTTGTAAGCCGCCTAGAGTGGTTGAAATGACCAGATAGGCAGAGTATAAATAGAATAAATAAACAAACTTTCTTGTCAAAATTAATACGTACAGAATGCAGTGTCATCTTTTATTCATGTTAACCATAGTGCTTTGCTCTTTTGAGAGAGCTGATAAATGCCTGTTAATGTTTATATTAGCATTTCATAAATGTGACATTGAAATTCTCACACCAGGGCAGTGGGCTGAATTGCATATTAGTAGTAACAATGCAATGTTTATTTTGAAACAAAGCTTGGCAATAATTTGTTAAAATATTTTTGTTGCCCTAACTAACTGGATTTTTTTATTAACAGATTTCAGATTTGTCATTTTAATTCTTAAAATAGAAGCAGTGTTTTAATATTTCTCATTAAGCTGAGTGGTAGTAATCATTATTAGCAATTGTGGGTGATATTTTAATATCACTTGACTTAACTAATAAATTGAATGTTAAAAGAGCAACAGACTAGAGCATTATAAGGTCAATAAATTGCAGTGATTTAACAGTTGTGTTAATGTTATTTCTTAGCTTTGACCAAAAGTAAGTTTTTAAAATATATTCTAATGATATTCTGAAGTTAGCCACAATGGACCAGTGGTAGGATGGTGCTTTGATCACAGAACATCATTTATTACCACTAAGCTGTGGAGTTCTTCAGCATGTTATATTCATTTGTCTCAAAATTAATATTTCAAGGTTTATTTAACACATCAGCAGAATACCCATACTTTCAGAAGTAAAGTCCATTTGAGTCATTTGGACGTCAAGGTAAGCTATGGATTGCAGCCAGGCTTTGGATTTTTGAATTTTTTGAAATCTGGATCTGCCTGCTGAAGTGCCAGCACCGCGGCTACAGCCGCCTTCTCAGGTTTGGCTGTGCAGGGGGGGGGAGGAGTAGCGATCTGGCAACTTATGGCTTGCGTGCCGGCAGAAAGGGCTCCGTGTACCAGCTGTGGCACATGTGCCATAGGTTTGCCATATATGCCCTAGGCTGACAGAATTAAAGTGCTAAGAGGCTTAGTGTGCAGTGACTTCAGTATTCAGCACGTAAATACTGTGCCTTTCATTGAGTTTTGTTAATTTGCACAGACTCTGTTAAAAGGGTGTGAAAAATCTGTTGCTTTTCTTTCTTACTGCCCTTTGACTGCCCCATCCGTCCATCCATCCATTACAGCTTGTATACCATCCCATAGTGCAGAACACTCCCTGGGTGTTTCACAACCAAGTCATACAAATCACATTAACAGAATAATGCAATCAATATACAATAGATCTCATAAAATCAATAGAGCCACTGTAACTTAGAACTATCTTTAAAAATAAACATCTCAGATAACAAGCACTTACTAAAAAGCATCTTTAAACAATCCTGTTTTGATTAACTTCTTAAAAGCAGAGAGGGAAGACAACTTGTGAACCTCTGTTGTAAGTTTGTTCCAGAGGTATGGGCCACAACTGAAAAAAACCAGTTCTTGATGTTCACTTTTTTGGCCTCCTTAGGTGTCTGTTACAAGGAAAATTAACCATTTTAATTCTGTGGTAGGGCTCATGGTGATTGCAGTAACTTTTGATACTACCATGTTTCCCGGAAAGTAAGAGAGGGTTTTATATTCAGTTTTGCTCCTAAAAACGCCTTAGGGCTTATTTCCAGGGGATGTTTTATTTTTTTCATGTACAACAATCTACATTTATTCAAATGTCATGTCCTATTCTGGTTGCTGCACAATGGTGGAGGGCAGGGTTTCACTTAACTGGGGCTTATTTTTGGGGTAGGGCTTATATTACGAGCATCCTGAAAAATCATACTAGGGCTTATTCTCAGGTTAGGTCTTATTTTCGGGGAAAGGATGGATAGAATTTTTTCATTTTACATTTATTAAAATGTACTTGCTGCTCCTTGTCTAACAGGGATTTATATCTGTGTGAGGTGAAAGTAAAGACTACACGTTGCTAAAGACCCTCTGATAAGGTCACATGATCCTCAGGAGAGGGCATTGTTCCTGGTTTGTTTCACTTGCAACATCATTTGAAGTTGCTGCTTCAAATCTAGAGACTTGTAGGCACACACAAACTCTTAGTCGTGTGCTATTAAAAATGTACTGCTATGAATCAATCCAATTCATTCTGTATGATTTCCCATTCTCTATATTTTATTGGAAGGCTACCTTTATAGATTCCATTTCTGGTTCCAAGGTTGGCAGTGGAAATAATTTTAATGTTCCTGTTATTTAGCTTACAATGTTCGCATTGGAAGGATTTCTTAGTGAATGTACTTTGATAGCAAATTCAGGCAGATAGAAACTGAATCTCTTTCCTCTCTTTCTGATTGTTACTGTGCTGTAGGAACCATTTGAAGATGGCTTTGCAAACGGAGAAGAAGGAACTCCTACTGGAGAAGCCACTGCCACATATACTGCTGATAGTAAAGGGATTGTCAAGTTTGGTTGGATTAAAGGTGTATTGGTGAGTATATATTTGGCAGCTATTTGACTTTCCAAATGATTCTGTAGTTTTCTTCTACTAGTTTGTTTTTCTAGCAGAAGTTTTGAAGATGTAGAAGCCAAAACATGCTTGCATTCAAGATTAGTACACTGAGGCTCGCTTTAAAAGCAAATATGATTTTTTTTATGTGAGTAGTACCAAATCTGATAAACCCAGTAATGGAGCCATCATTCATACCACCTTATGTTTCCACTTCAAAGAAAAGATCATAGTTTTTCAGACCACAATTTAAACTGAGAAACTGCAGTTTTGAGCAGTGCTTACAAAGTTATTTCCTGGTTTGGAAAACTCAAAATTATGGCTAAAGCTTTTCCTTAAAACTGGGTATGCAGGGGGAGGAGGCGAGAACCCTTAGGTCAAATGATAATACTGTCATGTAAACTATTATTACTAATGGTAATACTGTCATGTAAACCAAATATCGTCAACCCCCGGTCCATGGCCTGAGCTGGACCGGGCTGTGGAGAAAGACCTCCTGCCTCCCCTGCATGCACTCCCCTCCCCACAGCTGCTTTGCGCATGCACGTGCCAGCACCGGCGTGAGCGCTCCCCCACCCCCTATGTGCCCGAGGGAAGGGGTGGGCGGACGCACATGCGGGCGGGCAGGTGCTCCTGCACATGCATGAAGGGGTGTGAAAGTGCTCACACCAGCGCTGGCACACGCATGTACGCTCCCCCATCCCTTCTTGCATGCACCTGATAGTGCGCATGCATGCGGGGGGTGCCCCGCCTTCCTCAGAGGCTCAGCCGGTCCGTGGTCCCAAAAAGTTTGGGGACCGCTGGTGTAAACTACTGTCGTGTAAACTAAGTTCAGAATTTTGACTAAAATTTAATTGCTTTGGGTAGTCAGTCAAATGTATTGGCCCAAGTAGGTTATAGGGGATAAATTGATTACATATAGGGGAGCTGAGCCTCTGAGGAAGGCTGCATATTTCATAGTTTGCAATTTTTTGTTCTGATAATCTGTCGGTGGCCAGTTTGTTAGTTGGCAACAGTAAATAAAGTCTAACAAGATTTGATGAACAAAATTGTTATTTGGTGAACAAAATTGCTGTTTGGCAAAAGTGTTGATGAATGGGATGAAGAAACCAAAGTAAACATGGAATAAATCTTTAAAAGATACATTGCTTGCCCTATAATTTCTACACTTGATAGAGCACTAATCTCCACACTTCTTGTTTTTGGCTAGTGCTGTTTTGTTGAATATTGCAGCCTCTATAACGTTAACTGTGTTGACGCTCTATGGGGAAAGAAGTAATTGATTTAACTGAACTGGACTCTTGTTTGTCTTACCAAAAGTGCATCCATGGTTTTATCAGATTTTTGTTAGCAGTTTAACAAAATGCACAGAGAAGGACAAATAAGCATTTTATTCTATTATTGTGAAGTTTAGAACTATTTGGGGTTTACAGACTTTTCTTTTGATATAGCACTATTTAAAATTGGCAGGAAAGCAGAATTACAGTATTATCTTGCATGAGGTAGTGTCAATATAACAAATTTATGTAAAATTGTTTACATGCTTAAAGTTGTTATGTTTGGAAAGCCAGTGCATATTGACTAAATCATTTGCCTTTGGGAAGAAAGTACAGTGTTAGTATATTATAGTAAGAAAACAACAGTTTGTACCTACCTTAAATCACTGGAGCCCACTTCTTAGTCTTGGATTTTCCAGTTACACAAGAATGTCTTCAATATAGCATATTAGTAGATATACTAAATGGGACAGCATAGTATGAGTATAGTATGAATGTTCTTTACTCTTCCTTGTGTTATAGGTACGATGTATGTTGAACATTTGGGGTGTGATGCTCTTCATCCGACTGTCCTGGATTGTGGGACAGGCTGGCATAGGTAAGTATGCATCTGAATATGTCATTTATATATGTTTTTGAAAATATTGCAATTGTTAATTATTTGTCCTCTTGACTTATAAGAACAGAGAGGGATCAGAATGAGAAGGGTGCGGTTTTGCTAAGTACCTCATGCAATTTTCAACAAGGCATACTGTTTAACACTTCCATTAAGAAGCTCAGTACATAAGTCCTTGCATTTTTCAATCAAAGTAAGTTCTTTTTGTCTTTTGTTACTTCAGTAGTAGAAACTGAAAGGATTGTTGAGGGATTAAGCCTGTGTGGAAATGTGTACTTGGAGGATTAATCCTATGTCGGATCCCTGAAGCATTACATCAGAAACAAACTTTTTATTATTATTTGTTAGAAATTAAAAAGCATTATGGTGTCTACTATATAGGAGGTATCCTTTTTATTAGAGAACAGTACACAAGCAGCGCTTAGACAGGTTTGCTTTCAGTGTGAACAGGTTTGCTTTCGTTAATAACTTTATGTGTATCTAATATATTCTAAAACTTATGCATCCATTCAGTTTTATACATTTTGGCACTTTGACACATTGAAAATAAGAGTCAGCTTTTGTTAAATTAATATTATAGGGTAATTGTAATTCTTGTAAGTAATTGTTGGAACCGTCTTCTCTTTACAGGTCTTGCAGTTTTGGTCATTGCAATGGCCACTGTTGTAACTACTATTACAGGCTTGTCTACATCAGCGATTGCTACTAATGGCTTTGTCAGAGGAGGTAAATATAACTTTATAAATACTACTTTGCTTTACAGTTTTCAGATTAAGCCCATCCGTAGGACTTTATGTAACATTGCTGTCAAGTGTTTTGCAGTATTATTGTGAAAGTAATAATTGGCATGGCAATTAAAAAAAAACCCACAACAATTTGTCTTGCTGCAGCTGTTCTCAAAGCTAAGCATTTGAGACTTTAAGTGATGCAGTTGAACAGTTTGGGTGGAGGCAAGTTTCCAACATGAACTACAACTAGTACTGAGTGGAATCCAACAAGCTTATATAGTTGATACAACTGCTTCTGTCAGTGGAATTTGGAAGGTGTTCCACTCCCATGCCCTGGAGCTCCATGTGTGGTCTCTAGACTTGCTCTGGAGTGTTTGAAAAGTGATCTGGAGCATGTTTTGGTGTAGCACCCAGAGCTACAGGGAGAAGAAGAGAGAAAAGACCTGTTGTACCTATTGGAATTTGTTGAAACAGCCCTGGATTGAGGTCCCTGTTCAGTCTCACATAGAATGGTCCACAAAGAGTAAGTGGGTTATATGAAAAATGTATTACAGTGGCACTTTTTGCTTTCACAGTGGCAAGCCTGGGAATCCCATGTTATTATGCTGATGGAGCACTTCACTGCACCTGTTCAGCAAGATTATAACTATAATCTTTGCTAGAGTTTGGTAGGGTTGGGGTTCATAAACATCATTACTACCAGGTCACTAAATCCATTTGCTTGGAAAATGATATTCCATTTAAATATGCATAGGTTTACAGTTTGAGGGTCTGGTTTACACCCTGGAAGTTGATCAATGAAATGTCTATTACTTACATTTTATTGATGAGTGGTAAGGTGATCCTGGAGAGGGAGAACCTGAAGACTTCCTTGCAGCCTTCCCCAAACTTGTATCCTTCAGATGTTTTAGACCAGTGGTCCTCAACCTTTTTGGGACCACAGACCGGCTGAGCCTCTGAGGAAGGCCCTGCAGGTGCATGCGGGTGTGCTCTCTCAGGTGCATGCGTGAAGCGGGGGAATGCCCACCTGCCTGCGCCAGTGTGAGACTTCCCTCACCCATTCACGCTTGTGCAAGAGCACCTGCACGCCCATGCGCCCACCCACCCCTTCACGCAGGCACTTGGGCACATGCATGAAGGGGTGGGGGAGCGCTCACACTGGCGCTGGCACATGCACATGTGCACAAAGCAGCCGTGGGGAGGGCTGGAGATCTGTCTTTGTGGCCTGGTCTGGCTCAGGCCACGGACTGGCACCGGGCCGTGGACTGAGGGTTGGAGACCTGTGTTTTAGACTACGACTCCCAGCATGTCTGACCATTGAACATGATGGGTGGATCTGAGAGGAGATGATACCCAAAACCTCTGGAGGAAGCCAGGTTGGAAAAGTGTGTTGCACTGCAATAGAACTACTTATATGAATTTTGAGTGTTCAGATCTGTGTAGTTTTTGCAGTAGACAATATGAGTATGTTAAGAACGGTATTTCCCTCCATTAAAGTTACTGCTTATAATAATCCCATGCATCATCAGGGAAACATATTTTGTTTATCCAAATATTGTTGTGCTTCAAGATTTAGGTTGTGAATATATTACCACATATCTAACTGTTATTAGAGAGGCACAGCTTAAGTTAAGGATTTTGTATTTGGAGCAAAAATGAGGTTTACAATTGACATGGACGCTTCATATTTCTTTCCCTAGAGAAATTACCAGTCTCCATATGGTGCTTGGCTCCGTCACACAGCCAACCATTTTGGCATGGAGACAGGACAGGCAGTCTCCCTGGTCAGCCAGTGAGTGGTGAAATGCACAGGGAGGCAAGGAAGGGCCTGCTGGGCTCTTTCCGGGAGCAGCACAATGACAGTGATGGAACCAAGCGCTATGTGGAGCCTGGTAATTAGCCCAAACAGCTCCGTGGGGGCGAGATTGGACCACCACAGCAACTGAAGTGCCTCAGGTTTATATTTATTTACTCAGGAAAATGAATACAAAATGCCCATGCCTAGTTTTGTCAAAAGATTTTTTTTTAAAAAAAATTGCAATACACATGCATCACGGAGAACAAGTTTCAATAAAGCAACTAGTTGTATGGTGTTGTCTGCTGGGAGAGTCTGGTTTGGTTACTGCTGATTTTGGAACTTGTTTAATTCTCTTCTGTTTTCAGGAGGAGCATATTACCTCATTTCCAGAAGCCTGGGTCCAGAATTTGGCGGTGCCATAGGCTTGATATTTGCATTTGCAAATGCTGTTGCTGTAGCCATGTATGTAGTTGGCTTTGCAGAAACAGTTGTCGAACTGCTTAAGGTAAACTAATTGCTTTAGTTTGTTGTTAGCATAACAATCTGAATTTCACACTCTCTGTTCTTCAGCTTTTTTGTGGATCAGAATGATCTACAACAACTGTCAAATTTGCCATTTAAATGTGATGAAAAATCTATATTTTTGAATGATTCCTTGTTTCTTTTAAAGGGACATGCAAATGATCATAGGTTTGGTGGTGTAAGAATTGAAGTTCACAGTGAAAATGCTTCTTAGATATTGGCCTCATTGTTCAAATGATTGTAACTTAGTTTCCCTTCCCCTTAAGGACAGTATGGACAGAATATAAAAAGTGTGGAACTAGTTATGTGAAAGTTTGGGTGTCTTATGATCCCTTCTATCTTTAGTCGGATTGTCTTTAGCAGCTCACCCTTCTTTACACATTGCCATGGAGAAAATGTCAAAGTAAAGGGAGGCATCAGGTGTGAGTATTCTAAGTATTCCAAAGTGATGGGTAAATAATGAATTAGGATTACAGGAGTTTACCAGTGGTGCCTCAATTTACAACCATCTTGACTTGCAACCAATTTGAGTTACGGCCAGCTCCGGCCGCAACATTTTGCTTTGATTTGCAACTGCCGCTTTGAGATACAACCAGAAAAAAACGCCTCTGTTCCCCATTGTTCCCTCCCTCCTTTCCTGCCCTTTTTTTTAACCTTAGAGGTCATCTTAGATTTTTAAAAAAAGTCTCCCCTTAGTGGACAGATTAACTGCTTTGGCATTAGTTCCTGTGGGAATCCAATTGTGCACAATGTACCAGCAGTGAGGTACAGCTGGCCTTTTAGGGGTGTGAGGCTGCCCATCATTGTATTGCAGCCTCTGACTTGCTTCCTGAGAATCTTGGTGGCCTGTGGGCTCAATAAGCCGTTCCACCGAATATTAGAGACAGAATTGAAAGAAAAATGGTTATTAACCAGTTCATGTAAAGTGCAGTTGTAAAGGTTCAGCATCGACCTCTGTGAACATTAGCATCAATAATATTAACACAGTAATAAATACTTAAGAAAAACTATGCATGCAAGAATACAATATTCTTCAAAGCCCAGAATCACAATTAATTACTGATCAGTCAGAATGAATTTTTGTCTGACACATTCTTTCCGCATTTCCTTCTATAGCAGCAAAGAAAACACATTTTTAAAATATCTTGTTAAACTCATCTTCTTCTTGTTTCTAAGGAACATGATGTATTGATGTTGGATCCAATGAATGACATCAGAATTATAGGAGCAATCACAATCGTTATTTTGTTGGGCATATCTGTTGCAGGAATGGAGTGGGAAGCTAAAGTAAGTAAAAGAGACATCTTAGGACTGAACTTATAAAAAGAAAAACCTTACAAAACAATTTAAGCAAACATTGTAAGTGCTTATATTGGAATCATATTAATATTCAGGCTTCTAGCAGTGAAGTGTTCTTTCCATATCTAGATGTAAATCTATGATAATAACTTCTATGTAGGAAATTGCTTGGAAATGGCTTCTGGTGAAGAATATTTTCTAAGGAATTTTGAAGATATTTTTCTTGCCCTGAGGTGAAATACCAGACACTTCCTATGGAGAAGTGTCTCAAAGAAGCAAAATGTTTGAGAGCCATTTTTAGGTATCTGTGCCAAAAAAAGGGGGGAAGTTATATACATTTAAATCAGTGGATAAAACTTGGTGCTGAGTTTGTCTTTTGGAAAGGGAAAGATAAGCAGTGAACTCGTATCATTGCTGGTAATTCCTTGTGTTCTTGTTGAGAGTTGCCAAATGTTGCAGCAGGTGTCCTGGTGGAGAAGCTTTCCTGTACTGGCAAGTTTGCCTTGGACTGCTGCGAGGGAGGGAGGGAGGGTCATGGTAATCTCACTGCTGCTTTTACTGCTTGTACTATATCATGAGACATTATTAAATGTCCCTTGATATAGGAACGGTAAGGTAGCATCTGCTTCATGGTTTTCCTGTAGTATTTTGTTGGTGATCAAGCAGTATGTCCAAACCTAGAATCAGTACTTTTCACTTGGAGAAAAAGGTATTAGATTAATCATGATAACCACTAAACTTACAGGCACAGATTGTTCTGCTGGTCATCCTGCTAGTTGCTATTGCTGACTTCATCATAGGAACATTTATTCCATTTGAGAGCAAGAAGGCTAAAGGCTTTTTTGGCTATAAAGGTAAGGGATATTTTTAGCACATGAATTCCTTCAGTTTTTCCCAGTTAGACAATACTCGCTGATATTTTATTTGGATTGTTATTGATTTTGTCTTTTAACTTTATAATTGTAGAATGTCTAGGGTTTTTTTCAGTTTTACCTTTAATTTTGACTGTACAACTATATCATTAGTCTTTAACTTTAAAAAAAAAGAGATTAAAGAAAGCATCCTGCTGATCTGCTGAATGGAAAGTCCTGCCCAAGAATAGTAACATGGGACTTGCAACACTTGTGCAGTTGTTGCTGTTGTGCAGCCTGGGTGTGGTTTTTCTTGACTCCCATCACTGGAATACAGCAATTCAGGAATCTGAACTGATCAAAAAGAACAGAGAGAATAAAAAGGGAGGTGGAGTTGCAGTATATGTCAAAATACACATTCCTGCACAGAAATACAGGAGGAGGAGAATGGCTGTCCCATTGAGAGCATTTGGATCAATCTAGTTGGGGCAAAAAAATTAAACAAACAAACTGGTTGGAGTCTACTACCAAGCCGCCCAGATACCTCTGCGTAGAGTGGGCGGCATATAAATTAAACAAACAAATAAATAAATAATAAATAAGTAGTTGGGGTCTGATTGGACCACCCAATCAAAGAGAGGAAGCAGACAAAACTTTTGCAAATCAAATTGCTAGGTTTTCAAAGAGACACGATGTAGTAGTGATGGGAGATTTCAGTAATCCAGATATATGTTGGGAGGCAAATTCTGCCAAGTATGGCCCTTCCAAGAAATTCCTGGCTTGTATGTCTGATAATTTCCTTCTACAAAAAGTGGAGAAAGAAACTAGAGGATTTGCTATCCTTGACTTGATTCTGACCAACAAAGATGACTTGGTGGAGGACATGGCAGTAAGGGGAACTCTAAGTGAGCGTGACCATGTCCTTCTAGAGTTCCTGATTTCAAAGAAAACGAAAGCAGAGTGTAGCTACACAGGTCTGCTGGATTTTAAAAAAGCTAATTTTAATAATCTCAGAACAAGGATAAGTAAGGTCCCCATGGCAGGAGATCCTAACAAGAAAAGGACTCCAAGAATGGTGGGAACTTCTAAAAAAAGAAATTCTAAAGGCACAAATACAAACAATTCCAACAAGAAAAAAAAAAGGTGGGGGAGGTGGCAAAAAGGCCAGTATGGATTCACAAAAAGCTCAGGGAGGACCTAAAATCAAAAAAAGACATGTACAAGAAAAGGCAGAGGTGCTCAATTCCTATTTTAGCTCAATCTTTTCCAATAAGACCAACTATGAACTTCCAAACAAATTGGAAGTGCAAATGGGAGGGACAGGATAGCAGCTGGAGATAGATGAACAAATAGTCAAGGAATACCTTACCACCTTGAACGAGTTCAAATCTCCAGGGCCGGATGAACTGCATCCGAGAGTACTAAAGGAACCAGCTGAAGAACTCTCAGAACCGCTGTCCATTATTTTCTTGAAATCATGGGAACTGGGCGAGGTGCCAGAGGATTGGAGGAGGGCTAATATTGTCCCTATCTTCAAAAAGGGCAAAAAAAGAGGAACCTGGCAACTACAGGCCAGTCAGCCTGACCTCAATCCCAGGCAAAATTCTGGAACAGATCATAAAGTGGTCATTGTGCAAACACCTAGAAAACAATGCAGTAATAACTAGAAGCCAACATGGATTGGTCAAGACTCCACCTGTCAAACCAATTTGATCTTATTTTTTGATCAGGTCACCTCCCTGATAGACAGAGGGAATGCTGTGGACATTGTATATCTTGACTTCAGCAAAGCTTTTGACAAAGTGCCCCATGATCTCCTGATTAGGAAGCTAACTAGGTGTGGGCTGAATAGATCAAGTGTCAGGTGAATATATAGTTGGCTACATAATTGTATTAAGAGAATGATGATTAATGGGTCCTTCTCTAATTGGGATGAGGTAACTAGTGGAGTACCCCAAGGCTCAGTCCTGGGCCTGGTGCTCTTCAATATTTTTATTAATGACTTGGATGAGGGAGTGCAGAGAATGCTTGACAAATTTACAGATGATACCAAATTGGGCGGAATAGCGAATACTCTAGAACACAGATCCCCAACCCCCGGTCTGCGACCCGGCAGCGGTCCACAGCCTATCCAGGACCGGTCCATGAACACAGCTCTCCTACCCCCCACAAGCGCCGTTGCGCACATGTTTCAGCTCTGTGAGCACGCTTGTGCACATACGCGCGAGTGGGGCCCCCAAGCATGATACGCGCATGCTTGAATTCCGCCCCCTCCGGGCGTGCCACACCCCCCCAACCGATTCGCGGTTGGGAAAAGGTTGGGGACCACTTCTCTAGAAGACAGAAAGAAAATTTTAAATGACCTTGATAGGATGGAGCACTGGGCCAAAAGCAATAAAATGAAATTCAACAGGGACAAGTACAAAGTACTGCACCTCAGAAAAAGAATCCAGTTGCACAGTTACAAGATGGGGGATACCTGGCTCAGCAAAACTACGAGCGAGAAGGATCTTGGAATTATCGTAGATCACAAGGTAAATATGAGCCAACAGTGTGGTGGCTCCAAAGAAGGCAAATGCTATTTTAGGTTACATTAATAGAAGTATAATTTCCAAATCCCGCAAGATGCTGGTTCCCCTCTATTCAGCACTGGTTAGGCCTCACCTTGAGTATTGTGTCTAACTCTGAACACCCCACTTCAAGAAGGATGCTAACAAATTGGGACAAGTTCAGAGGAGGGAGACAAGGATGATCAGGGAGGTGGAAACCAAGCCTTATGAGGAAAGGCTGAAAGAATTGGGCATGTTTAGCCTGGAGAAAAGAAGGCTGAGTGGTGGTATGATAGGACTTTTCAAATACCTGAAAGCCTGTTATACAGAGGAGGGAAAGGATCTGTTCTCAATCATCCCAGAGTGCAGGACACGCAACAATGGGCTCAAGTTAAAGGAAGCCAGAATTTGATTGCATATTAAGAAAAACTTCCTAACTGGAGCAATACAACAGTGGAACCAGTTACATTGGGAGTTCGTAAGTGCACCAACATTGAAGGCATTCAAGAAAAACTTGGATAATCACCTGGCAGATATGCTTTGATTGTATCCTGTGTTGAGCAGGGTGTCGGACATGATGGCCTTGTAGACCCCTTTCAACCTCACTTTTCTATGATTCTATAATTCTTCATAGAGATTACTGCTTGCACAGTGGTAGCAGCATGGTCTTGTATTGCTACATTGAAGGACTTTCCACTCATCAGAAGCTCAACAGGAAACTGGTTTGAGGTTTTGTTTCTGTGTGATATTTTAAGATTCAGTATTGTGGGACATTGCTAACATCCATTTAGTCTACCAGTTTAGTTGTTACACAGGTGATGATGTTCTACTGGAACTCATAGGGCTCCACCACTCCTGCAAGAGATGAAAATTGCACATCCCTACTGCTAATAAGATTGGATCTCAATTCATTGGCTTCAACAACTCTGCCAAATTTTTCCAGTTCCCTCATTGCGAGAAAGACACCCTGGAAATAAATTTAAAAACAAACAAACAAAAAACTCCAGTGTAGCCCTACACATTCCCTCCTAGAGGATGCCTTGTGGGGTGATAACAGGTATCTCTCTGTCAGAGTTCTGTTTGTTTATAGTTAGTATCCAGTCTGATAGCACCAATTTTAAATTGTCAAAGAAGACTAATGTTTCTTCAAACTGTACACAGTACTCCTACTTAACCATTCCCCTCTAACTTTATGCTTCTTTTCCATATGTGCCCTTTTCCCTGTATTCTAGTGTCAAAAAGCACAAATTATGTTTATTTCTGGCTTGCTGGGGATATTGTAGTATCCAGATACAGGTTTAACAATAATTGTGTGTAATCAAGTAAATTCTGACTTTCAGGGTTTTCTGGGTAGGAAACACACAGAACGGTTTACTGTTCCCTTCTTCTGGAAGTGCTGTGAGAGTGTGCAGGTTGCCCAAGGCCACACAGGCTGGCTCTTCTGGGAGGCACAGTGGGGAACTGAATTCCCGATCTCTGACTCCATGGCCATAAACCTAACTCACTAACAACCTGTGGTAATTCTTCACATTTGTCACAAGCCAGACTGCTCTGTTTCAGCATCACAGTAAACAAACTGAAATGTCTCTTATTCAACGTTTCCCACTTGCAGCAACACAGTGCTTCATTCTCAACAAGCCAGAATGGACCAAGTTCTGTCCTGTTGTCATGTGCAAATGCATTCTGTATCTCAAACTTGACAGTTAAAATAAAGAATGAAAATGACATGAGAAGAAGCTTGTATGCTGCTCTGACCCGATATATATATTTACACACAGACAGACAGACAGACATACAGTGGTGCCTCGCTTAACGAATGCCCCGGTTAATGACGATATCGCATAGCAATTTGGTTTTTGCGATCGCATTGCAATGTTTTAAATGGGAAAAATCGCTTTGCGATGATCGGTAAGCTGTTTCGCTTACCGATTTTCGCGTAGCGATGTTTTCCCAACAGCTGATCGGCGGTTCCAAAATGGCCGCCAGGTAAAAAACATGGCTGCCCGCTGTGTTTTGGGACAGATTCCTCACATACCGGGCAGCGAAAATGGCCGCCGTATGGAGGATTTTCGCTTAAAGGTAAGTTTTTTTGCCCATAGGAACGCATTGAAAGGGGTTTAAATGCATTCCTATGGGCTTTTAATAATTGCTTAGCGATGTTTTCGGTTAGCGGTGATCTTTGCTGCACCGATTAACATCGCGAAGCGAGGCACCACTCTGTGTGTGTGTGTGTGTGTGTGTATTATTATTATTCCCAAAAGTAAGGAAATATATGAGACATTAGCCGCCTTGTTCAAGCCATATAAACAGTGAATATCCTGTGTAGTCTCACACATCATGGTTGCTTACAGTTCCAACTTTTCTGCTAAATTCTTTATATGTTTGAGCCAGTCCAGTTTCTAGCCTGCTGTCTTCTTGCCAGTCAGCCACATAGAGGAAAAGGGAGTAGCTTGCTGTATTTCCGGGTGCCAGTCTCCTAAAATCTAAATGATTCCATTAGGGTGCTCACTTTTGAATGTGTGCAATACAGGCAGAATCACCCAAAAGAACCTGGAGGTGCAGATAGCATGGTAGAGGCAAATGTCTTAGTTACCTTTATTTGTTATTTGTTGAAATCGTTCCTTAGAAATGATTAGCTATAGGAAGATTGCTTAAACTTGCAAGCCACTGTCAAGGTATACATTAGAAGTAGGGTGGATTTGAATTAAATCAGCTTGGGTATGATATAAATGATTTAAATTGCAATAAATATTCAAAAAGTATCAATGTAATCATGATTTTTCCTTTAAAATGCAGTTTTCCTTGATATAATCTTAAAACATATTTTCATGATATTCTTCTCTATATTGATTCCACTTCCAATAAATATTTATTGAGTGTCAGTGGCTCTTCCAGTGCCTGAAAATATGCACTTTCAGGGGGAGACAGATCAAGACCTAACTTTGACTATGCAGAGACAGTAGCTGAGGTTGCCACGCAGAAAGAACAAGATTCAGGGAAAAGACTGAAAGCAGTCCTGGAGATTTTAATAGAGCTTCCCAAACTTTCCAGCATGTATTGCATTGAGAGAGGGGAAAAGGTCCAGGAATAAGTTAAGTCATTGCTGGAAAACTGGGTTGATCAGGTCTGTTACTTTACATCTTCATGTATTGATGTTAACAGATATTTATTCATTTATTTGTTAACCGTGCACCATGCAACAATCGTAAGAAAATTTCTGCCCTAAAGCTGGGCACCTGGAATGTACGGACAATGACCCCTGGCTTTCCTGACTACGGCTTTCCTAACGACCTGCAAGAAATAGACGATGTGCGCAAGACAGCTGTCATTGACATGGAACTGAGTAGACTGCAGATGGACATTGTTGCCTTACAAGAGACAAGACTGCCAGACTCAGGATCTGTCAAAGAAAAAAACTTCTCATTCTTCTGGCAGGGAAAACCATCAAATGAGACCAGGGAATATGGTGTTGGCTTTGCAGTCAGAAATACTCTTCTGAGATGCATTGTTCCACCTACTGTGGGGAGTGAAAGAATCCTGTCTCTGCAGCTCCACTCATCAGCAGGACCAATAACCCTCATTAGCGCATATGCACCAACACTGTCATCCACTCCAGAAGTGAAAGACAAATTCTATGACGATCTGGCAGCTACTATCCAAAAAGTCCCTGAAAGAGAGGCACTGTTCATTCTTGGAGACTTTAACGCTAGAGTTGGTGCTGATCATAATTCTTGGCCCACTTGTCTAGGCCGTTTTGGCATTGGAAAGATGAATGAAAATGGCCAACGCTTGCTGGAGTTTTGCTGCTATCATGGTCTTTGTGTCAGCAACACATTCTTTAACACGAAGCTGCAACACAGAGTTTCCTGGAGACATCCAAGATCCAAACATTGGCATCAGCTCGATTTGATCCTCACTAGACCGTCTAGCCTTCCTAGTGTTACGATCACACGCAGCTACCAGAGTGCTGATTGCGATACTGATCACTCCCTGGTGTGTAGTAGAGTAAAACAACGAACAAAGAGAGTATATCACACGAAAAAGGAAGGAAGACCACGCATTGACATCAGCAAGACTTGCGATCAAAGAAAAGTGAAGGAATTTGCCCAAGCACTTGAGGAAGCCCTTCCAGGTCCAGCTAATGCAAATGCACCTGAACGATGGGAACACTTCAAGAACACTGTCTATAACACCGCCTTGTCCACCTTTGGCAAGAAGACCAAAAAGATGGCTGACTGGTTCGAAGCCCATTCAGAGGAGTTAATGCCAGCCATCGAGGATAAGAGAAGAGCTCTAGCAGCATACAAAACCTGTCCTAGCGAGTACAACTTGCAAGCTCTTCGAGCTGCTCGCAGCCAAG